GTAGCGTCGGCCAATACTTTGGCCGACGCTACGGGACGGCAGGCTGCTCGTCGGTTTCGTGAGCGCCAGGATCACAGTCGGCATCGGGACACACGCGCGTCAAGTGCGACAGCTGTTTTGACTGCGGCGGACTGTGTTTCCGCTGCGGTCAACCGGGGCATAAGGCGGCAGAATGCTCTGCCGCCCCTCACTGCCCAGTGTGTGCGGCGGGCAATCACCAGATGGGGCAGAGAGGCTGCAAGCCTCCCCGCAGTTCTCGGCAGACGTCAGGGGCTAGCCAGTCGACCCAGGCTGCCTCCGATGTAGTTCGTGCGTCGACGTCGTCGCCCATGGAGGAGGCTGTAGAGACGATCCAGTAATGGATCGGGTCTCCAGCCTCCTGGTCCAGACGAACCTGAACCACTGTGCCGCGGCGCAGGATCTCTTCCTGCAAACCATGGCACAGTGGTCGATAGGTGTTGCCGTAGTCGCGGAGCCCTATTCTGTCCCTCCCCGTCCAAACTGGATGGGTGACCGGGACGGCTCCGTGGCAGTCGTCGGTTCCACGACGGCTCATTCCCCGCCCTTGTCGCTAAGAGACAAGGGCACTGGATATGTTGCCGTCGAGTGGGGGGGATCACCATATATGGCGTTTATTTCTCCCCCAACCGGAGTTTGAACGACTTCGAGGTTTTCCTAACCAGCTTGGAGACCTCGATACGGCGACTAGCGTCTGGGCACGTCCTTGTGCTGGGGGACTTCAACGCAAAGTCCATTGCGTGGGGTTCCCCCAGGACGGACGCAAGGGGCGAGGCCGTAGAGGAGTGGGCGGCCTCGGTGGGCCTCTGTCTTCTCAACAGAGGCTCCACCAACACGTGCGTGCGACAGCAGGGGGGGTCGATAGTGGACCTCTCGTTCGCTACCCCTGCCCTCGCCACACGTGTAAGGAACTGGCGTGTCCTGGAAGAGGTTGAGCTCTCCCGGACCCAGGACTCCAGTAGGGGTCACGTGGCGCGGCGTTTATCCCGCTTTCCGCGGTGGGCTGTTGCCAGACTGAACCGGGACCTACTAGAGGAGGCAGCCATAATTCACTCGTGGCTGTCTCCTCAGGCTCCGACCGAGGAGGTTGACGTGGGGGCTGGCCGCTTTCGCGATGCGATTACGCATATCTGCGATGCGGCCATGCCCCGCATTCGAGGTCGTCAGCCTCCAAGAAAGGAGGTCTACTGGTGGTCCCAGGAGCTGGCGGATCTCCGTGCGGCCTGTACACGTGCCCGGAGGTCCTACACGCGCAGTCGGCGGCGTCACCGTGGAGACGGTGAGGAGGACCGGCTTCATGAGGAGTACCGACGGGCGCGGAAAACTCTGAAGCTGGCCATTAGCCGCGCCAAAGAAGAAAAAAGACAGGAGATGCTGGAGGGTCTTAATCGTGACCCCTGGGGTCGCCCTTACCGCGCGGTGCGACATAAGCTCCGCGCGTCGGGCCCCCCCCTTACGGAGACTCTCCAGCCCAGCTTCCTGCGAGAAGTGGTTGAGGGCCTTTTCCCACAACGAGCGGAACACACTCCCCCGTCGATGGCCTCCCTGGCCGGAGACGACGGGGAGCACGGGGAGGATAATGTTCCGCCCGTCCGGGATTCGGAGGTAGGGGCGGCTGTTCTACGGATCCGTTCCAAGAACACCGCCCCTGGGCCAGACGGGGTACCGGCCCGAGTGCTGGCCCTGGCCCTCAACCACATGGCAGACCGCCTCGGGGAGGTGTTCGACGCTAGCTTGGCGTCGGGACGCTTCCCTGAGTGCTGGAAGAGCGGGAAGCTGGTCCTATTGAGGAAGCCGGGACGGCCTGCCGATTCGGTCGCGGCCTATAGGCCCATCGTGCTGCTGGACGAGGCGGGCAAATTGTTTGAGAGGGTTCTTTCTGCCCGCATCGTCCGGCACCTCTGCGAGATGGGCCCCGATCTGTCGGACGCCCAATTTGGTTTTCGGGCGTGAGGGCCGTGACCGAAGAGGCCGTGAGCTGTGGCGGCGTGCTGTTGGCGGTGTCATTAGAGATCGCCAACGCATTCAATAGTCTGCCATTCAGCTGCATCAGGGAAGCACTCCACTATCATGGGGTGCCAAAGTACCTGAGGCGGCTAGTGGCAGACTATTTAGAGGAGCGTACCGTCGTGTACGAGGACCGAGAAGGTAATTTGAGGTGTCGGCCCATGTCGTGCGGTGTTCCACAGGGGTCTGTTCTTGGACCCCTCTTGAGGAACATAGGGTACGACTGGGCCCTTCGCGCCGATTTCCCCCCCGGGCTGGGTGTAATCTGTTACGCAGACGATACACTGGTGACAGCCCGGGGGGCAAACTTCCAAGAGGCGGCGCGCCTGGCCACAGGGGGAGTCTCCCTGGTGGTCGGGCGCATTGAGGCGCTGGGCTTACGGGTGGCCCTAGATAAGACGGAGGCCCTGTTATTTCATGGGCCCCGTCGTGGTCCACCCCCTGGCGCCTCAATCGTGGTCAACTCGGTCCTCGTACCGGTTCGGGCCCAGATGAAATATCTGGGCCTGATCCTCGACGGGAGGTGGCTCTTCGACGAGCACTTCCGACAGCTTGCTCCAAAGCTGGTCGGCGCTGCGTCTGCCCTAGGGCGACTTTTGCCCAATATGGGTGGACCCAGCGTCGCGACAAGACGGCTGTACACGGGGGTTGTCCGGTCAATGGCACTGTACGGTGCACCGGTGTGGGCGGCGGCTCTGACCGCCCAGAATAGGGTACGCCTCTGGCGCCCTCAGGGGGTAATGGCGGTCAGAGCCATACGCGGTTACCGCACCGTGTCGACGGAGGTGGCATGCGCGTTGGCCGGAACTCCCCCGTGGGATTTGGAGGCGGAAGTGCTCGCCGAAGTTTATCGGCGAGTGGCTGACTTCCGGGCGGAGAGCGGATTTCGCCCTCCGCCCGAGGATGTGCGCGAGTGGCGCGAAGCCGCTCGCCGAGCCACGATGGCTCGTTGGTCGTTCCGGCTGGAGACTCCACGCGCTGGCTTCGCCGCCGTGGAGGCTCTCCAGCCGGTCATCGCCGAGTGGGCAGGGCGGCAGCACGGGACCCTTTCCTTCCGGCTGACGCAGGTGCTTTCCGGGCACGGTTGCTTCGGACAGTACCTGCACACGGTCGCTAGGAGGGAACTGAGTCCCGCCTGCCACCACTGCGACTGCAGTGAGGACTCGGCCCAGCACACGCTGGCGGTCTGCCCCGCATGGGCGGCGCAGCGCCGGGCCCTCACTGCAGTCATCGGAGTGGATCTCTCGCTACCGGCCGTAGTACGCTCCATGGCCGGTAGCGACAGTTGTTTTACCGTGGTCGCAACCTTCTGCGAGGTAGTAATCTCGCGGAAGGAGGCGGCGGAGAGGGCCCGGGAGGACGACCTCCACTCGGACCCGATCCGCCGCCGGCGAACCGGGCGGCGGAGGCCCGCATATCACAGCCTCATGCCGCCCTGAGTGTGGCCGCGGGTGGACGGGGTGGCTTTCCCCTCCACCCGCATTAGTTTGGCCAGCCGCGAGGGGGCGGCGTCCGCGTGTGCCGGACGTCGCCTATAAAGAGAGGAACAATCATTGAGACGGAGCCCGCACCAGGAGCGGGCTGGCGCTAGGAGGGGTCCGGATGTCTTAACAACAGCTGTTCCCGGATCCCTCCTGTTACAGGCGCAGAGTGGCACACCGTGTGGTTTTAGTCGGTCCGAGTCCGACACACCACCCCGCCGCAAACCCCGGAGGGGTGACGGTCCGAGGGGATTTCCACACGATAAAAAAAAAAAAAAAAAAAAAGGGTTTTTGTCAAGTTTTCCTTCTCTCTGCAGTGTTGTTGTTCTGCGTAGTTTTTTCCCTTAGTTGACTCTTACAACACCCACGGGATGAATAGGGGTGGTGACAATCTGTATTCTTAATCCGTCACCACCTAATACGGCAATATTTTTGATATCACCACTGATGAGCCACTAGTAATAGATTTAATTCTATTTAAAGCGAAACTACTCCGAGCAATCATATGATTGTTAGACAGATTTTTCTTTCAAATATTTAAATCTATTGTTTTTTTTTTTAATTGACCCAGTGTTAGTGTACGCTGATTTTTCAAACTATTCAATAAATTATAATGCGGTTTTGATCAATGAAGAGAATGATTCAAGAGGAAGGTTGATATGTAGCATACATTGCATCCGTGCGAAGCCGGAGCGAATCCCTAGTTTTTATATAGTAAACACCCCCTTTTTTTTTTTTTTTTTTCCGTGCGGAAATCCCCTCGGATACCACCTGTGTCGATGGCATGTCGGACTCGAACCGACTAAAACCGCACGCCTTCGCCGGGTACTAATAGCCGGGGAACCAGGTATACCCTAGAAAGGAAGGCCCTGGTGCCCCGACATATCTCGGGTCATCTACAGACGAGTAGACGACCCCCCCCCCGTGTGGGAACCCCATGTTCCCTGTGCTCCCTGGAAGCGAGCGCGCTTCGCAACGCGCTCGCCGCCACCCCGGCCTGCTTCTGCTAGGGTGACAGGTGGCCTCACCTGTCACCCCCAGGCCTGCGCTTATGGAGGACGGAGGTCGTTCTGCGAGTAAACACCCCCTAAATGTAGAATGTCTAGTCGAAAAATAAAATATGATTTGATGAAGAAAAATTTTACAAATGTGTGGTAGGTAAACAAAATTCGTTTTCTATTAGAATCATTTATAACATTAAAACTTATTTCTAATTAAATTATACAGTTTAACTAATTAAATTAATTATAAGTAAGTCGAGTCGCTTCTAAAGTTACTTGTTTTAAATCAAAAACAGACTATCCAGTATCATAAATGTCGCACCATTACAAGGACTATACAGATCACCATAGATAAGGTACCTAACCTCTTTATTTTTTCAATGTTTGGATATAAATTGCAACAACTTTCGGTGTTTTTTCGTAGAATAGCGTTGTTTATGGAACACAGAATTTATGACTAAGTTGTTCACGATAATAAACTTTTATTTCTACTTCAACTTCGTCGAGGTGGTTTTACTTTTAAAGTTGCGCAAGGCCGCTGTTTCCGTCGCACGTATAGTACCAATAGGCATAAGCCCGATCCTATGAGAGATAGGACGCAGATGATGGTTAATCCCAGCTGGACTGCAGCTGTTGAATAAGTGCCGTGGTAGACGAGGGTCCGTAAGCTTTCGGGAAGGTCATCAACGCCCTGTAAAAAGATAGTTATCAATCGTCTTGTAGTTAAAATGGTGCTTTAGCTAGGGTAGGTTTCTGCTTGACAGTGTACGTCCTGGTCCTCATACATGGCCATCACACCTCAAATTAGGCAAAACCTATGCTATTGTGATCAGACTGCTGAAAAATATACCTACTTATTTAACATACATTAAAAAAAAAAAGTTATTGACTCCGTGCGGACTCAAAATGTTTTTGGCTCCGAAGGACTCTAAAAATATTTTTTTTGCTGCCATATTTCTCTTATTGACATAATATATTATAGATAATTACAACAAAATCCAACAAATCATCTTGCTTATCTCACTATTATTTGTTCTGGATGGAAATTGAACCCATGACTTCTGGTTAGCAGTCAAGATCACCAACCAGACCAGTCAATTGCGTTAAACTTAGCATAATACATATTTGTTTTAATTTAGACTTACTTTTTCTTGCTAATTGTGTGTATGTGTGTATCTTATTATTAAATTTATTATTTCATGAATGTTTCTTTGGGTTTTACTATTAAATTTAGACTAAGATAATTGTTTTGTAAGATAAAATATTAAAGTAACAAAAAAATAATACAATCCTTGTACCGGTAATTAACAACTTAGTTGTAGCTACTATTTTGTTTGCTATTCTCGATCCGTAAACCAGATAATACAATTTTTAGTATGACTGCCACCGCCGGCCGCGATGTCGGCTTGTATAACCCAATCTTACAAAAACATTTATCATCCTGTCGTGCTAACGAAATGGCGACTTTTACACCTTTTAGTTAAATATCCATAATATCTTTGTTTAGAAAAAAAATAAGGCTTAGACAGTGCGGCTACCTCTATCAAGTACTTATGACAATCATGTGCATTTTAATTAACAGTTTTTTCGTGTTTATTATACTAATTAAAACTTTTTAAATATTCTGTTCTTACCATTTCGATCCAGGCCACGGGCAGGATCATTCCTTGTTGCAAAAAGTCTAGAGATGACAACATATTACTTTTTCTCACTTGTATGTTGATTTGGAAGCTGTGGAAACGAATTTATACAACCAATTGAATAAAGTTGAAGTAATTGAGGCGGGAAAGTGCTCTGGAGTTTTTTGGTACATTGCGGACTATTTATTTCGTCAATTTTTATTTTTCGAAACATTTACGATCACGCTTTACGAACTACTCATCTCGCATTTTAAAATTTAGATTATTTATTTAATAAACAACCGACTTATTCTTTACAAAAATCTAAATTTTATATTTTTTAAATTTTAACTTTATCTAACAGGCGTCTCGCGACGGCGGACTATTTTATCTCATTTCAAAAAATTTATAAAAAATATTTTTTGGTCTATTGACTCACCTCGATTTCCCGCGTAATGCCAATCCTAGTGTCGGATGCAAATCTAAGTAGGAATCGTGCTTGTCTGGATCGGGTTTTAATCCGGTGAAGTTCTCGCGAAGAATCGGATCCCCGAGATAGAAATGGGGGAAGGAGATGAAAGCTGGAGCGCCTGAATATGCAATTAGAAAAGTGAATTAAATTACTATTCTACTTTTTAAGGTTTAGGGCGATCTTGAAGAGCAGAACTACAATTTCATTTATAACTTTAGACAGAAATGGCAATACGTAATTATATATTTACTAGCTGACTCGCGCAACTTCGTCTGCGTCTTTTAAAAGGATTATTTTTTTTCCGTTTTTGCAACATTCTTCATTATATAGCCTTCCTCGATAAATGGGCTATCTAACATTAAAAGATTTTTTCAAATCGGATCAGTAGTACCTGAGATTAGCGTGTTCAAACAAACAAACAAACTCTTCAGCTTTACAATATTAGTAGAGATTTAAGGATCTCTAACAAAGGATGTACACAAAATATCAAAAATACATTTCACAAAATTGGTATACGTACCCATGGTACACCTAGTGACATTGATGACCCCCTTAGGGGGGCAAGTGGCCGTATCTATCTCACAGTAACACTGGTTGTGGGGGTTGCTTTTGGGGTCATCGAATACATTCAGCGGCATACGGTATCTCATGAGCTGGATGTTGTCAGACATCTGTAAATATTTTTTATTTTTTATACCACTGGGGTAACAAACGAGTGTGTGGCAGGATGAAATTGGATCTGAGGTCGCAAACGAACAATAGTTACTAGTGGTGTGATATTAGTATCCCCAATTATTGAATTTAATACTCAATACTCAAATTATTGACTTTACTTGCTTTTATGTGCTTTTCCTGCATAGTTTTAATTTCTTATTAATATTTTTTAAAGTTATGAAACTTGTTTTGAAAAATCTGACTTTGAGGTCTCGCGCATTGGAATTAACTGAAAAGTATATGTATTCGCATATCTAGACTCTAATATTTCTATTATTATCCTAGTTTAGATATTCAAAAGTCATAGACAAAGTGTTTAAATTTTAAATTGTTTAAAAAAATCGATTATATTTTAGGTATTATCTTTGGTAAGAGTATTTTACCTCAACGTCCTTTTCAAAGGTGAAGGGCAGTCTTCGGCAGAGGTTGGGGAAATACACGTAGAGGGTACGGTTCCTGTCGAGTTGCGATGGTGGGAAGATGGACCCGTCGGAGGCTTCTATGCTAAAATATTTTATAACATTAATATATTATTAAATGAAATAAAAACTATAACAACTAATGGCAAGGGCGTAGTTGGGGCAGAGTGGTACACTTGCATCAAAGTTAGGTAGCATCTTTGGTGTCGTAATTGGTAAGCCAAGCTTATGTTATTTCAAAATTATCGCAACAAATCGAAAAGTGCGAATTAACCAAGTACGTCCATTTGTCTCTCAAGCCATTCCAAACACCTTTTTCGGACAAATTGCTGGTGCTTTTTAATCTCGAAGTCTGTTGTACTGATTGACTCAACAACTCTGAAATATTTTAAATAGATTTGGCACGAATCTTTAGGCTTTTGCTACATTATGAGCGAGTAACATAGGCTACTTTTTACAGCGGGCAGAGCCGCAGGCAAAAGCTAATTGACATAAAACTCTCTTCATCACATTTTGTCCATACCACGATAACCTATGGCTCCTCAACTTTTCACCCAATAGCTACTCTACTATTAGGCTCGTGTCTAACAATTCGGCACGATTCTATTCATATATATTGTTATCTAAAAGTCATTGATAAACGTTAGAATTAAATGGAAACATTACAATATTTTGTAAAACAACGCAGTCATGGCGGCTGTCAAGGGTTATCAGCCATAGATAATATAGACCAACTGATTTATCTAAACAACAACATTGTCAAAAAAATTGTAATTTTTGACGGATTTTTTTTAAATGTTGCGTTGGATTTGTAGAATTATTTTTATAAAAACGTAACAAGTATGTGTCGGCCTACGCAACGTATAGGGTTCCGTTGTGTAGGTAGGTATAATTTAGATTAAATGTTTAACAAGTGAGGACAGTCTAACAGAGCTGACTTAGTTTGTTACAAATATTGTCATCATGAATGTTTTCATATTTTTCAAGCCAACTTGGAAAGCTTAACTTGAAAACGAGAATGGAACACAAACAGATAACTCTAACAAAGAAATATTATTTGCAAGGTTTTAATTTATCGTTCTTTTTAATATATACCAATGTAATTACAACTATATGACGGGTCTGTGGGTCTAGTGGTGACCTTGACTGCCGGACTGGTCGTGGATTCGATTTCCACCAAGGACAAATAATTGTGTGATGAGCACGATGATTTGTTCTGTGTCTGTGTGTAATTTATCTATGATATGTATGTATTTAGAAATATATAAGTATATTTATCAGCAGTCTGGTAGTACAGGCTCTGCCTAGTTCGAAATGATGGAGATGTGTGAAGATCATCACAGTTAATAACAATCAAGAAAATTAGAACACTCTGAAAACTAAACCGCGAAGGGACGGACGAAACACCGAGATGTCGAAACATGGTCTCGTTACGACTACGGAATCCTAACAACGAAACGAACATATTAGCACGTGATTAAATAATATTATCTTTAAAACATGTTCTTTTAATTCTGTTCTTGTTTTAATTAACCTTTGACATTTTTTTGCGTTGCATCATGTGTATTTCCCGCCATCGTAACTGGAGGAAGTCTGGTGTCGTAATTTATATGTTTCGTTTATTAACATTTTATCAACCAAATCATGTAAAATAATAAATAATATAAAAAGTAATAAAATTCTGAATAAAATAATCCCCCATAAACAGTAACGCCATGAAAATGTATTATGATCTATGGCCTTTGGGGAAACTTGACTACTTGTCTGCTAATTTTCAGATGAACGCTTCAGTAGTTAAGGCGTTAAAGAATAACAAACATACCTACATATATGAAAGCGATTTTAACATTAGTTATTAAGTAGTAAATTTTAGGTTTTTGTCACTTTATAATAATAATATATACTTGACACACATGGTTGTCTGATCCCAAACTAGACAGAGCCTGTACTATGTTAACAAGACTGTTTAAGAACATGCTTCTTATATATTTATAAATTCATACACATTACAGATTAATACGCTTAAATACAGAACCAATGATCGTGACATAATATTTTGTTTTAGGTGATAATCGAACCCACAACCTCTGGAGAAGCAGTCGGATTACTAACCACTAGATGAACAGGGCGTTCAAAATTATATTACTGTCTCTTTTAACATCCAATTTAAAAGCTATATCTAAACAAATAAATAAATTTTTTGTGTCTGTTTGCTGAATGATACCTATGCCTAAAAACCAGTTAAAAACGGCTAACGAAGGCTGGACCGATTTTGATAATATTTCAATAACAGGTAGTTGTCTATATAAGAAGTAACTTAGGGTCTCTTTCCTCTCAGAAAAACCCTTTAAAATTTTGATAGGTCCGGGAATCAAACCCACTTAGACAGCGCTTTTCAAATTCCACGCGAACGAAGTCGCGGGTACTAGCTAGTTATGACTATATCAAAGCCGTGGTGAGAATTTCTACTAATGACAAAAGACCAATGTACCTGTTACACTCGGGGGTTCCCCAAAACGAGAGGTGGTCCTGGCCATCTACCATTTCTATTGTGTTCATCTTCTCCTTCTCTCTCTCCCCCGTGTTTATCGTAAACCGCTCGGAGACTGTGCCGTTTTTCTGTAAAAATGTATGACATTTTTTTTAACCTCTATAGTTAATAAAACTACCTATATACACTACAACGATTATTTCTTATTTGTGTTTCTAACTTTGAAAAGAATTAATTTCCATGCAACTGTTCATCCCATAGTTTACATCCTTAGGGGTGAAATTCTAAATATTCTTTCTTGGGTGCTAACAACATAAAAAGTATCAGCTGCCAAAATTTCAAGTTTGTAGCCCCAGGGGCTTGATAAATCAGTCAGTCAGGGCAAGGAATATATATCATCATCATCAACAGCCTTTAATAGTCCACTGCTGAACAAAGGAAATTCTCCTTATAAAGGAAGTCCCATACCATACTGGCCTAAAATCCACTTAGGCCTACCATATAGTTTAAAACTGGGGGAAGGTACTCTCGTAATCATAGAAGTACAAAAATTTAAATTATACTTACAGTGACCAGTAACCCGAAATTATCGAACTTCAGCTGTCCTTTGAAGCTTAAGTAAGCTTTGGCTACGTTCATAATGCTGTCCTCGTAACCCCACAGGAACCTGTAGACATTAGGTAAGTATGAGGCAAATTGGTAGACACAACGAGATCTCAAACTTTTCAGGTTTTAGTCAAGGTTCCGTCAGACAATGGACAATATTTGAAGCTCCAACTTTGGGACGCCAAGTACTGTCACCTTTCCTTTCCTTTAAAAAAAAAAACAACTCCCGCACTAGGAATAATCCTGTGTCGCGTGGGACAAACATACATGAAACGGACACAGAGTACACCCAGACTCAGAACAACAATTTACGGATCACACAAAGTGTTGTCCCATGTGGGGTTTGAACCCACAACACTCGACGTAATAGGAAGCGGCGTGGCGACCGCTTAAACCACTACGCCATCCGTGCAGTCCTACCCACCCACCTAAAGCTGTTAAAGTAATGGGTAGACGAAAGAGTAAAGTTAGAAGGAGAAAAGACACAAATTATTTCTTTTAAATTACACACAAAATACCCTTGTCAGATCTGAATTATTGAGCAATAAATTCTAAGATTTTTGTGCCGTGTGACAATGTATACCAAAACTTTTTTGGTACCCAATCCCACCCAAATTGAAACAGCCACTCAACTCACAAAACTCACAAACAAACCCGTAGAGACTAAAACATTTCGCAATTTTTGGTAGCTAGTTGATTTTGGATCCAGGTACCTTAATATTAGTGAATTTGAAAAGGAATCTGCGTTTTTATTTAATCTAAAACTAACTTATTACCTTTCGCGTTTCATGATATATTTTCGAAAATTAACGCGTTGATAGAACAGGTATTACATACCATTGAATTGTCTGACGTTTGACCAGGTTGCAGAGGTCAGTTACTGGTTAATTCTCGTATAAGTATCTACACAATTATTCATCCAAATCCAAATGAAAATAAGTAGCGAACATAATAATCAATAAACTTGCGTATTATATTTATATAATTCGTCAGATTGCTTGTCCGTAGTTATACCCGTGGTCATAACTATTACTACTTTTCTAAGCGTTACAGTTTAACCAATAACCTTCCTCTAAAATTGACCTAGCAATGTATACAAAGAATTTTCCAAATCCTTGTCACACGCACACACGCAACCACAAACACACTCAACTACACACACACACACACACACACACGCATACCCACAAAGACTCACAGACTGTTTCTTAAATGTATTATCTTACCTGTGCACAGGAAGACTAACGAACGGGTCGGGATGGTCGATACCGGACCATTTCCACATCATGGCTTGGTAAATAGCCATCCGAGGTAAATAGTCCATATTCTGAGCCATAGCTAGTAAACCCTGGAATGTGGAGAAAGTGCCGTTATAGATAATCTGACTTGTTTTTACTAGCTATTTTCTACCTACTGATACCTGGATTCCTCAAATCTAATTATTCCCATCCTGACTCTGTACGACTCACATGTGATTTCGAACGCCAACAGTTTAAATATTATTTCACGATTCGCGAATGGCCAAAGGTTGAGTAAAATATTTTAGAAGATTTTTTTTAAGTTTTTATTCGTTTGCTAAGCCGGAGGTCGTGGGTTCTATTTCCAGCCAGGATAAGTAATTGTATGATGAACACGATTATTTATTCTGTGTCTGGGTGTAATTTATCTATAATATGTATGTATTTAGAAATATTTAAGTATGTTTATCAGCGGTCTCTGCTTAGTTTGGGATTAGACTGTGTGAGATGTGTGAAGTTATTAAGATGTGTGTAAAGTAGTGATGACCACGACTATTCGGTTTTCGGCTATTCGTCCATTTTTTTCCAACGAAAATAAAAGAATGCATAACTCGCAAAGATTTTCATTTTACCAATACATTATTATATTAAATACTTAAAACTTTTTTCTGTATTTCTTGATAAGAAACGATCAAGCTTTTTCTCATAAATTATAGTTGCTTTGGAAAATAGCCTCTCACTGGATATGTATACTGCTTCCAGGAGATGAAAAATAAATCTTTTAAAATTCTGTGCAGTTAGGATATTGTTTTGAGTTTGCTAAACATTTAACTGATTCAGATTTAAAGACGCAAAAAGTACTAAGTGTTGCCGAATATTCGGCGCTTCGGCTAAGAGACTCACCGAATATTCGTTACTTATCAAAATCACTATTCGTGACATCTCTAGTATCAAGTTTCAAATATGAGTAATGTATGAAATTCTTTTGTCAGGGCTATTGGTAACCCCACGTTTGTTCATAATAATTTTGCTTTATGTTTTATTTGTTTTTACTGGCAATATGCGCATCTTTTTGAACTTCAGTAGTTAAGAGGTTATTTAATTATGTCAGTTATTAACGATTGGTCGGATCCCGTTGTATCATCCGTGCCGTACGTAACACAAAGGTAGGCCTTCGACCAGGCGAGGTGATCATGCCTGTGGACCGAGGCCCAACGGTTGAAAATATAATATGACATTATCCAACTTGTAAAAATATACAAAAAGATATACTTACAGAAATAAATATCATTTATACATATCAATAGGCGAGAGAACTTTTATTGCGCGATGTAGGATTATTGTTAGTTCGTAGTTTGGTACTCGCTAGATGGCGTTGAAATATGTTTATACGTTGTATATGGAAAGTCCAGTATATTTTAGTGATAATACTTACAAGTAAAGGTAAGTTTGGGACCAAGACTTGGTCAAAGTGGGCTCCATTGCTGTCGTTCGGTAAGTACGTGAAACGGTTCCGTTCCTGGAATGACAGTTTATCACCGTTGAAGTGGATGTTCACCCTTTCGAGTTGTTGCCTGCAACAATAAAAACTTATTAAAATTTAAAGGTATACATAGATCGATAACTTTTTATTTCTACACTATTTTTACAACAGCAACAGGTGGGTCATCTGATGGTAAGTGCGTCGCTTCCACAACTGGATCAGTGGGGGGAGGGGAGGGAATTTGTTCTCCAGTAACCGCTCAGTGTACCTTCCATTCTAACTGCCTCTCATTTTCAACATACTTACTTCCAATGTACAAACACAAATGTATAAATCTAAAGTGTTTGGTTGTGAATAGTGCTAATTACTGTTAATATTTGTGATATTCCTAAATGAAACATCATCTTTTCCTATCATTATTATAATCTACTTTTAGTTGCTCTATCATCAGTAGAAGAAAGATTATCGAGTCTTCTTTCTGTCATCTTTCTACTGATGTTAACATTGTATGAATTCATATCTCAATTACAATAAAATTGACATTTCACATTTCAGATGTCACTTCGCAGTTTTGTTTACATGAATCGTAGCAGGAAAGATAAATAAAAAAAATCGTACGTTTACAAAAATATGAAGCACAGTTGTTTACAAAAACAAAATCACCGACTTTTGGCGCCAGAACACGTGTATTCAAATACGATGATTACAATTGAACAACTACATATATGTCTACTATGACCTATGTCATACATATATTTATTTGGTCAAACTTATAATGTTACGCCGCATTCGGATGAAAACGAATTGAACTTTCTTTACCCAAAGGGTTATCAATTATCACATTAACATAGTTTCCGCAAATGAAACACAAATATTCACATTAAATTTTAAGAAAATAATCAAAGTACATAAACAATTAGAAATCATTTGAAAATAGACCCTTCAGCTTTAGAGAGAAAACACATTATTCTGTATTAACCAAGAAAAAAAATTGAAATATCAATTTAAACCTACGCTATGCAAGGAACGTATTGGTTCCTGAATTATTAAATTATATATTTAAGACGTAAGCAACAAATGTACGCAAATTCGTTATGTAATTATTTACAAAAGCAATATTCATTCAAAGTTCATTTATTATGACGACTGTTCTCATAATCGCGGGATTCTTGGATTAATTGAAGCACGTAATCGATATATTTCCTTAACGGACGTAAACAGATAACGCTAACATGATTTACTGAACTTTTCTTAGTAATTTGTAATGATAAACATTAGAGAAACAAACAATTACTTGTAATACTAACATATTTTTAAAATATATATTTTTTATCTGCGTATGTTAAATATACAAACTACAACATAAAACTAGGTTATCTGTGGCAACGGTTGTCAATCAGACAGACATATAAATACAACCACGATTTACCCGCCATAAGTAGCAAGTTTGGTCCCATTCACGTAGCAGCGAGCCAACGTATGACCCTTTGGGCAATTCGAAACTAAATATGTATGAGAAAATTCGGTGATTTGCAAGAAAAAGGTAGGTAGGAAGAAGAGATAAACAAATGAATGAGATATCACCTATATTGGATTGTGGAGTATAAGCATGACATATCTTATCATAGACATAATTAATAAATCCTAAAAAGTCCGACAGCAGTCTTTCTGTAGTACTTCGATATCGCCAAGTACTTGGTTCGGTCGTGGAGGCTCGATGGAAGTCGCTCTGCGGAAAAATCGAAGTTCAGCCGTATCGCAGTAGACTTAAAGCCGACCTTGGGGTCAACGTCAACAAATTTGGGGTTTTTTCCCAAACTAAGCCGGCCTAGTTTGGGCAAAAGGCCCGGTGGTAGATTAGAATACGCGTTTGTTTTCCAATTCCATTAAAAAAAAAACATATTCACTTTAGGTACTCTTGTTGTCTCAACATTGAAGTCTCGGGTGATCTGCAGGTGGGATGGCAGCGTCATAAGGATTATCTCAACATACTATTGCATTGTCATCAGGTTTATGCATGATTATCAAATTTCAGCAGCAGACAAATGTCATAAAAGGTAATTTCGTAGTAAAGTAAGTATTAAACATCCAACGTATGACATTTAATGTTGATCAAAATTCAGTAGACGGCCGGCAAGTATTTTTATGAGTAGAATACTTCTTTGCAGTCATTTCCTAATTCGGTCTCAATTCAAGCACTTTACGTTCCGTGTTTAAGATTGGACCTAAACATAAATAGCAATTTAATAAAAACTTGTAAAAATAGATGCAATAGGCGGTTCATTCCAGATACCAAACAGACGGGGCGGTCAATTTTTTTTCAGATGTATTTTTTTTCGCTTGCGTCTTTTAGATCTGTTTTAGTAGTGCGATAAAAGAATAGTGAGGCTTCAAATAGATGTAAGATATAGGAGCTTTATGACTAATTGTTTAAGCCGTTAAACGCTTTCTAAAATGTTCATTAGACGGAAGGAATTTCCCTCCAATTTTTTACGTCAAAGCTAGAAGTGTTTTTGTAATAGATTAGAGCGAGTACTATACATATCTACCTATTGTACTAAAATAGTAAGTAATAATAACAACGCTCTAGATAAAGATTTGGCCTTGTATCCTGCGAATATATTTTGTATATATATATATAGCAAGGATAAACTTATGATGTAGATACATGCTAGGTTTAGTTCGCGGCGTCGGTAGATTTAGCCTATATTTTGTCGAGCCAAATGTGTATCAGGTATAAAAGTTACGTAAGTTTTATCAGCCCTTGTTAACAGTCCTATCTTTTGCTGGGTAGTTCATTGGACATAGGTTGAGTCATAGTTAAGCCATGAACCCCTTTTTAGTTTTGGATAAGTAAGACGGGTTGATATAGGATTTGTGTCAAGTTTTCCTTTTTTTTGCAGTGCTGTTGTTCTGCGAATTTTTTTCCCTTAGTCGGCTCTCACCACCCCTATTCATCCCGTGGGTGTCCCACGGGATGAATAGGGGTGGTGACACTGTATTCTTAATCCGTCACTGTCACTGCAGAGAGAAGAAAAACTTGACACAAACCCTATATCAACCCGTCTGGCCAGCGTGGTATAGTAGGCTAAAACCTTCTTTATAAGGAGAGGCTTATTTCCAAGAGTGGACTATTAAAGGCTGTTGATGACAGGGTCAAACTATGACAACAGTTTTCTGTAACATACAATATTCTTAGTATATTCGAGATGTAGGTACAAGATAAGCTGGATAACACCACATTCGTATCGCAAGTTATTGCATACGAGTACAACATTAAGTTGTTATATGAGTACCATAAATTGTTAATAATCTATTTGATAGCTTCACGGGTGGTATATTGTATTTTCGGTAACGCAATACCTAGTACGTGGGTGTTGTTACGATTGCAATGTTGTTTTAATGGGATTTCTATAGCAAATTTGGTGTTCGTGACGCAGCTTTAGGCGTTTACCGTAAAGATATAGAATATTGCATTGTAATAGTTCTGTTAAGTTTGAATCTAGATGGCGTTGTGTGTCAGTAGCCCGAAAATATTGTTATTATTGTGTAGGGTGGGTAGCGGATAATTGTTAAAAGGTGTCACCGCACAAAATTTTATTTATAGGGCTACCACTTAAATTAAGGATACCGTGGGAGAGTCATATTTCGTCGAAATAGGGCCGGCTCGGAGTGACACCACGACCTCACAAACTGGTGTTAAGCTATTTTTTCAATGATTTTCAAAGAGTTAGGTCATCGGAGTTCAAACTGTCCAAACGAATGGGCATAAACTTGACGTCTCATAGAGTAGAAGAAGGCAAGCCTGGGGAATTCTAACATATTAATCTTATATATATTATTTATTTTATTCATATCCGTGTAGTGATGAGAGAGTAGAAATAAGAATACGGAGTGTCACCACCCCTATTCATCCCGTGGGTGTCGTAAGAGCCGACAACGGTACTGCAAATAGAAGGAAAACTTAACACAAACCCTAGTAGGCCAGACCCTCTTTTCTAAGGAGAGGCCGATGTCCAGCAGTGGACCATTTAAGGCTGAGTATGTGTATATTATTTATATGTATATTTTTTGTATATTTATATATACAAAAAATATAGACACAGGCATCAGAATGAGCAAATTCACTCAATAAAGTTTTAATTAACGTTCCGTATCTATTTATCATCAACAGCCTTCACTAATCCACTGCTGGACATAGGCCTCTCCTCAGAAAGGTTTTGTATTTATGTATTACATTAATATGTATGTATGTAACTTAACAAGTATATATGAGTGTATTTCAGAATGTGTGTTTATCTATCCCATCATGTTTCTGTGGAGCTTCTCAATTATTATTATCACTTTAATAAAACTTAATGTCTCGTGCACCTGATTAGGCATGAAGCATCCAAAGCTAGGTTGCCTGTAGTGTGGTGTGGAATGGTCCACCATTGTAGTCAGTTGTGCATAAAGAATTAAATAAAAAAATATATATTTGTAACATAAAATACTAGCCAAACGAAAGCGTTGGAAGAAATGTGGTACATGTTGCAGTACTTTCAAAAGATGCGATCAGTTTTGAGTTCCACGCAATTTACAAGAGCGCGCGAATATAAAACTATATTCGATATCGTGTATGAAGATAACTTGCTGGCCACGCCGGATATTCTATCAGGGTTTTTACCGAACAGCTCCATCTGCGAGTAGGACGGAAATCGATAAATGGCTACAGGGGACTTCGGACGTGACATATTTAACAACCGGCTGAAGCCTGGCCTGGTTGTTTTACTCCGAAGTGATTATAACTTGACTTTTTTAAGGTGTAGCGGTTGAACTAGCAGACGAATCACCTGATTTCAAGTGATTACCGTCGCCCAAGGACAACTGCAACTCAAGAGTTACAAATGCGTTCCCGCCCTTTTAGTATCTGCCCCCAGAATCAGGAGTGGTAGAGCTTAGGTTTAGGTTTAAAGAATTTATTTTCAAAAAGACAAAAAGCCACTTACATGAGAATCATCATCATCAATAGCCTTTACTAGTCCACTGCTGGACATACACCTCTCCTTAGTAAGGAGGTTTTGGCCTACTATACCATGCTGACCAGACGGGTTGGTATAGGGTTTGTTTTAAGTTTTCCTTCCCTACATGAGAATACAAACATACAAGCTTCGGTAAAATTACTCGTCTGTAGTCTGACTAGTCTATAATCGCCTCAAGTTTTTGGTATATCTCTGTTTAGTTAATATATTTTGTTCATCAAAGTATAATAGAGTCTACATTATGGAAAAGTATGAAGCAGATAACGCACTGACAGATAAGGAAAAATATTTTTTTATGCCATATTATGATGAACTATGAACTGATGACTTATACACAAGTATTTAGTTATGTAAGTCATTTGTTCACAAGGCATTTATACTATACTAGTTTTTGCCAGCGACTTCGTCCGCGTCATGGTCGACGTCAGTCATCGTAGAGTATACGCTACTTGACGCTACCCAAAAATAATGAAGTTTCATATAAATTGACTGCACGGATGGCGTAGTGGTTTAAGCGGTCGCCACGCCACTTACTACTACGCTGAGTGTTGTGGGTTCGATCCCCACATGATACGACACTTTGTGTGATCCACAAATTGTTGTTCTGAGTCTGGGTGTTCTTTGTGTCCGTTGCATGCATGTTTGTAAAATCCCCCGCGACACAGGATATATTCCTAATGGTGGAATTTTTAAAAATCCTTTTTTAGTTTACACCTACGTTACCTCAGGAATATTGGTGCAAAATTTCATGCTGCTAGGCCCAGTAGTTTCAGCTGAGCGTTGGTTGATCAGTCAGTGAATCAGTCAGTCATTTTCTTCTTTTATAAATACATGTGTATAAGATAGAGTTCGCTTGGCGGTCGTATTTTAGCTTCTTTGAGTTAATTGTTTTATGACCAGTATAACTTGATCTGTCATTGTATAGACATTTTGTTACAAGACAGGTCATAATAGATACTGGACCCCACTTTCTCCACTTTGCCTAAACATTTAAAATTCTGTATATAATATAATATCTAATATACAACGCAATCTAGTTGCAAACTAAGCTTGTACTATGAAAGTTAGATTGACTGATAGAATACTTTTTTTTTGTAAATATGTACATATTATACATAGAAAACACCCAAACTCCGAAACAAATATTTGCAAATCATACAAACATTTGGTCCTACGCGGGTATCAAACCTGAGACCTCAGCACAGCAGTCGCATACACTACTACTGCGCCCCGGAGGCAGGCATAATATGATAAGCTTCCGTGCGCAATATTTTAATAAGATAGTAATGTTTTTTTTTCAAGTTTTATATACAGACATATGTTTACATATTTATAATATAAAAAAGCGTTTCAGCATTGCAACAGAGCTGTAATTTAATTCTACGCATTTGATTTCAAAATCTGTGCAATCTACGGAAAAAAATATCGTCTGCGGTATTCCCGAACCGAAACCTTTTTTTAAGGTTTTCCTTCTCTTTGCAGTGCTGTTTGCTCCTGCGTAGTTTGCTCCTTAGTCGGCTCTAACGACACCCACGGGATGAATAGGGGTGGTGACACTCCGTATTCTTACTCCGTCACCACACAGATATATTACGAACAAATTTGCTTAATACCGGCGTTCTGTGAGGCCACTCCATCCGCCATTACTTCGGCCGCGGCGGCTCATTTGTGCTAGAACATGGCATTATTTCCTTAAACTATGATCACCTACAAAAATATGATCACAATCCATACTAATCCATACTTTAATATTATAAATGCGGAAGTGTGTCTGTCTGTTACCTCTTCACGCTTCAAACGCTGAACTGATTTAGATGAAATTTGGTGTAGAGATAGTTTGAGTCCTGCGATAGGACGTAGGATAGTTTTCATTTTAGAAATCTTCCTTTAAGGGGGTGAAAAGGGATGGAAGTTTGTATGGGGAACCAATAACCGCTGAACCCATTTAGATGAAATTGTGTCTGGACTGGACTTGGAAGGGGCTACTTTTTACAGCGATATTCGACATAAAATCTAGTAATATTATAAGGGCGAAAGACAGTGAGTGGGTGTGTTTATATCTTTGTTACTTCTTCACGCTCAAACAGCTGAACCAATTTAAAAATAAATTGTATGGAGGTAGCTGACACCCTGGATGCAAATTCTCTTTATTTCATAAAAAGAAAATTTCTTGGTCTTTTTTGTAGACTAAAGTCATAGATCAACACACATAATAGCAACAATCTCTGTTTTATCAAATAGTAAGTTTTTTTTAATAAAAATTAAACTTATACAAAATTTATGATATGCCTGTGCCGATCTACAACCGCTCGTTTCCAAGGGGTTGAGTCTAATGAGAAGAAAGGGCAAACAAACTTATGGCCCCATAATGGATTAACACATAGGCTATCACACACATAGGCTGAATTATCTGATAAACCGCGGGTAAAAGTTAATTATAAGAAACCATGGTATATAATTCTACTTACGAATAGACGTAAGGCCCCACTTCTTCGACATGCAGCTTCTTCTCTTCTCCCCTTTTAACCTTCTCCCAGTTGGTGTAGTTAAAGAGGTGTACCTTCATGAGAGGTTGGACGTTTGGTCGCCTCCAGATATTGTACGCTAATGAATTGTTTCTAATCACCATGCTCTATGGAGGGAGAAAAATAGATTAAATATTGACTGGGCTGATGGCGACTTCAGTAATTATCATAGAATCTATGCTAATATTATAAAGTTAGAGTGTGTTTGTTTCGTTGAATAGTTGGGTCTGGAACTCCTGGTTCCAATTACAAAATTATTTTAGGGTTGGATGGCTCATTCCCGCTCTTTGAGTGCTCTCCACCCCCTTTTTATTTTTATTTTTTTCCGTGCGTAAATCCCCTCGGTTACCACTCACCAGTGGCTATATCGGACTCGAACCGACCAAAAACCGTCTCGGATACTAATATCCGGGGAACCGGGTGTACCCTAGAAATTAAATCCCAGGAACCCCAATGTACCTCGGGCCATAATTTGTGCCAAAATCTTTTTTTCCAACGATATAATAAAGAAATGAAGATACTGCGTTTTGAAATACAAATGAATATACTCACAGATAGAATAGCATTGTTGATAGTATTTGTGAAACAAAAACAGATCGTCCCGATCACACTTAGCACGAACGTGACCGACAGCAGTACGATCACTGAAACGAAAAGAAAAAGCGATTAAATATGGCGGACCAATATCTAAGGCAATAGAAAAGCTCTCATCTTTAATGGAAATATTTACGATGAGTATTGCAGCTAGTCCGTAGTCACAGAAAAAAGCTTTCTTGGTGTAAAGGTCTTGTTATCACAATATGTTTGTATGTACACATGTATTGTGAGATTTATTTCCCGCCATAACTTTTAAATGTCAGAACTTTGGACGTATGTATCGATAGAATCCTTCTGTAACCAGAGTGATATTTGCTAGGTTTTTTTTGCAAAGAAATCAACTTTTGTGATTGCAGTAGCTCGAAAACTAGGAGGCGAGGCTCGCTAGGAGGGCAAACGCACAGACGGGTCACCTGATGGTAAGTGACTACCACTGCCCATGGACAGCTGCAACTCAAGAGTTATAAATACATTGCCATCTTTTGAGTCCAACCCCCCAGATTCAGGTAGAGGGGGTTTTGGCTCCGGTAACCTCACTCACTCGTTGAAAAGCAACGAAAAAAAAGAGTGGCACTCCGGGAGTTCCGATAGAAGTGAAAACATATATACAGAGGTGTCGGTAACGGTAACAGTGTTGCAAGTTTAACTGTTTTTTCCTATCTCAAACAATGCCCAACGCGCCTAAAAAAGTTTTCACTTGAACGGAGGTGTCGGTAACGGTAACAGTGTCGCGAGTTCAATGTTTTTTTTCCATTAAAATTGTCTGTTGTTCAAAAATACCATACGCGCCTACAGAAGTTATCACTTCAAAATTGGTAATGTATCACTATATCTGGTCTACGCTTGTCGACATAATTAAAGCAGGCATATCAGCTGGCATAAAAAGAACTGCATAAATAAATGATAGTGGAAAAAAAGTGATGGCTCTTATCATGGTCACCGAAAGGGTCTAGACTTGTTTTGCTTTAAGAGATATTAAGACAGGTAAAATTGAAAACGAAAACTTAACCTGACCTCTTGTTATCTTCAACAGAATAATAAATCCATAAGTAATTAAATTTTATGTTTTGAAAACAAAATCATACGATTTCAGTTATCCGGAGAGTGATATTCAAGGTTAATTTAACGTGTGTATTAATAAAGTAGTTTTTTTTTATTAATACATATTAAATTACTTGTCTTGACTGACTGGTTTATCTCATCATCTATAGACTAATAGTCCACTGCTGGGCATAGGCCTCTCCTTAGAAAGGAGGTTTAATAACTTTAGTTGCTTGTTAAAAATTGCACTTTAGATAAACATAGGGTAGCAACATATGTATTATTTTGTGTTTATTTATACTATAGTTAAAACAATAAAATAAAGAAGCTGTGTGTGCTTAATGAACACAATAAATTGCAGATTATATAGAAACAAATTTCATACGACTGAGTCATTAAGTTCACAATATTTACTTTACTAATAGTTACTAATTGTTAGAAATAAACTAATACGACATCTTCTTTGAAACATATTCTAAGAATAGACGCAGAGGGCAACCACAATATGTTAAGACTTGCAAATAATGTTTTGTAACTGTTTGTGTTTTATACATAAATAATCTCTTTTGATTAAAAAATACCCATTATGGTGTATCATAAGGTGGATAGACTGCACATTTTATCAGTCAAAATCGGTTAACTAAGTTCGAAGATCCTTTGAAATGACCATTCGCCAATAAAATCCACAGGGCGGCTCTGTATTTCCAACGTATGTGTATGCATGTATTGCCACATAAATGAGCATGGCTGTCAAATGCGAAACTAGCACCGAAATCACCGAAAAACAACTGATAATGCAGGCTTTCCTTTCTGTCTTCTTCCAGGTCATTTAGAAGGCCTATGTCTAGCACTGTGTGTCCTACCCCTGCATCAATAATGATGATTTTGCAAAACAATTATACTATCTGGGGACAAACCCGATGATGAATTACTTGAGAAATGAAAGAAACATTTATCTAAATGTACCTAACTCTTTTTGAAAAATAGTAATAAATACCTTTAAAACTATAAAAAACAAATAATTCTACTCGAACATAGTAGATTGTATACGAATCTATTTACTTCTTTGGGGATAAAATACTTGAGTGTTTGTATGTCATTGTACTTTGTAGTGTGATTACTTGTGTTTTTCTAAACGCTTTTATTGGAATCTATTTTTAAATAACATTCTAGAAAATGAGTACTGTTGTGTCAGATCACGTTCTGTTGTCACGCTCATCCGGCAAAGAAATCATATTCAGCATGACAGAAACATTAAGATAATTACAAATAATAACACATATTGACGTAGGTCAGGGTGTTATATAATAATTAATTATACACCTGACTTTACTGCACTTACCTACGCATGATGAAATAGACATTAGCCTCGGAGAGCACGGGAACCGTCGGTACCGGTTGCCATACAAACATTTGTGGCAATCTTTACGGGTAATTGGAGTTCTAATAAGTTCTACAACAGTCTATCTACAGAACTTGGACATCGCCTAGTACTTGGGTTGTGGAGGTCAGTGATTACGCCCAGTCGATTTTATTGACAAACTAGCTGAGACCCGCGGAGTTACCCGCGTTTTGTTGTTAAAACCGCGGGCAACGCCGCGGGGCGAAGCTAGTCTAAAAAAAGTAAACTAAGTTACTCCTTATGTCATCAGCTATCTGCCAGGGAAAGTCCCGTTGAAATCGGTCCAGCCGTTCCAGAGATTACCCGGAACAGACAGACAGACAGACAGACAGACAAAAATTGTAAAAAATGTTATTTTGGCATATGTACCGTGTAAACATACATCGATTTCCACTCAGGACAAATAATTGTATGGTGAGCACGATCATTTGTTATGTGTCTGGGTGTCATTTAGTTATAACATGTATGTATTTAGAAATAAATAACTATGTTTATCAGCAGTCTGGTTACCATGTACCATGTGTGAGCATTGTCCCTTTCTGGTTTTTTTTCTTTTTTTAAAAGACATGTCAAATAACGTAGTTGTTGTCTGTTTTTTAAGTGACAATGTATATAATATTCCGTTTTATATCATTGCAAGTGACATCTTTAATCAATGAACAGTGAACGGGACAGTTTGAACTGTTATCGTCCATACGATCTATTCCACACAACCTTTGGATACAAAGCGAACGATATCAACACATTTCTGCATTTGTACATATAAATGTAAATATACGTCAATGTTTATACAAGTTTGTTAGTGTTTAAATGATATCTTTATTTAAACGCTAACAAAAGTTAGTTAAAATTGTGGCTTCAACAGTTAAGATTTGTGTCACACTAAGTTCTGTACAGGTCTTGTGTCTAATTATCCTGATTTTTCTAGATTATTCCTATGTTTAAAATACTACATTTATATCATTTTTAGAATAATAGAGTGCATATATATATGTAGTTATACACATCCGTGCTAATATTATAAATGTGAAAGTGTGTCTGTGCGTCTGTCTATCTGTCTGTATATTACCTCTTCACGCTTAAACCGCTGCAAAAGAGATGAAGAGATGGTTTTAGTAAAGGACATAGGATAGTTTTTGTCTAAAAAAACATCCTTTAAAGGGGTGAAATGGGGGTGGAAGTGTTTATTGGAATTCAATAATCGCTGAACCGATTTAGAGCTAATTTGGTATGGAGATAGTTTGATTCTTGAGATAGGAAATAGCATAATTTTCACAGCGATAACCGACATACACGCGGGCGGAGCCACATGCTAAAGTTAGTACTATAATATTTTAACTGAAGTTTTAAAATAATATGTATTTACTGTAGATGCAGCATGAATACAATTGCCATGTTACACTAATTAAGAAAGTACTTAATTTGTTAAATAGACACTAATAGAACAAAAATGAAGCACTTTTTTTTTGCTCGTTTGAATGCGATAATCTCAGGACCAAACCGCAGTAAAGCAGTCGCATACGCTACCACTGCACCGCCGAGGCAATCAAATCCTTTCCCTGGCTTCCCTAATTTTGGATTGCACAGTGTAAACAATAGCTGGTGCAGGTCATCTGTTACTTGAACTAGCTGTTAAAGATAGATACGGGAATTAGCATCTAGACCTGCACACTCCTAAAGTAAGCATAACTTGTTCTAGAAGATGGAGAAATATTTTTTGTGAATAGAGACACTGTCTTACAGGGGAAATTTTGAACTAAGTGGGAATCGAAATTACGACTTAGGGTTTTTGCAGTCGAATGCTCTATCACAGCGTCGCATACGTCATCATGTACAGCGACTTCGATTTGAACAGAAATTTATTGTACCCTCAATATTATAATTTAGTTAATTGTGTTAATTAATCGAACTAACGCAATACTCGTGTGTCGTATATCTATGTTAAGGGTCGCGGGTTCGATTTCCACATGCGATAATGAAGTATTTCTATTGACCTACAATATTATTTCACTCCCAAGATTGTAAATGCGTATGTGTAGTATAATTGTTTGTAATATAGTATTGTTAGTGCCCTAAGTAATAATTTTCTTTTGGATGGCTGTTTGTTAGGCGATAATGTCAGAAATGCTGAACGGGTACAGATGAAACTTGGCACAGAAGCATGGAATAGAATAGTACCTATATTTTTATATTATAAGCATTATAACGCAGTAGGTCTAGTAGATAGTGACCCTGACTGCTAAGCCAGGGTCACTATCGGGTTCGATTCTTACCCAGGATAAATAATATTGTGATGAGCACTATTATATTTTGTTCTGTGCCTGGGTGTAATTCATCAGCACTGGCCTTAGTCACATGCAATGTGATCAATGGGATTCGAGACACTAAAAAGGTTTTCAACCTGCGAACATTAGCGTTGTAGTCGAAGTTCGCTGTGCATTGATTGAACGTTAACCTATGCATTTCGTAAACAATATTATAACCCACCCATTTCTCACATCTGATTCCAAACTAGGCATAGCCTGTGATACGGTAAGCAGACTGCCGATAATCATACTTATATATTTCTAAGTACACTGATATTATAGATAAATTACACCCAGATGAAGAACATAAGATCATGCTCATCAAATAATGATTTGTCCTGGGTGGGAATCGAACCCACCACCTCTGTCTTCTCTGTCTTAGCAGTCATGATCACTTACCACAAAACCAACAGGATGTATAAGTTGTAATGGTATAACTTGTTGCTATACGGCGTTGACTGTTGTGGTTTCGATTCCAACATCAAATAATCAAATTAAATAAATTTACTTGCATTAGTATGGTACAAAGTTCTTAAAAAATACAATCAGGAATCACAGAAAACGAGAAATACGAGGAATTCGAGACAAAATCACTGTAATCCACAAAAAGTTGTCCTGTATCTGAGAGGTTTTGTTGTTCATTGTTTCAATGTATGTAAATTCTCCGGCATCTCAGAAATTATACCTAATGCGGAAACGCGTTGGTTGTCTCTTTAAAGACAAAGTCTTCGTATTCGAATTGTATTAAGTCTAAATATTTGCCTGCGTATTATATGTGTTAAATACACACATATATACATGTATATAATTATATATTATATTGCAATATGACGTCACGATATATGATAGGTATATAACACGGATAAAGACAAATGCATGTCGGTTTTTTTATATTTCATACTTATAACATTTTGTGTGTGACCAGTTGCTTTAGGGGTTACATTATTTCCCTTTCTGAGGGGGTTAGCGGTCCTGACTGTTAACCGAGAGGTAACGATTTCCACCCAGGATAAATATTGTGTGATGAACACGATCATCTGTTCTGCGTCTGGGTGTAACTTATCTATAATATGTGTGTATTAAGAAATTGTAAACATGTTTATTTAGTGGTATATGTAGCCGGTTGACGGCAATTACTTTTAAATCATATTCATTTGATGAAATGATTTGTTTTAGTCACAGCGATTTCACAGGTAATTGTGATTTCATCATAAACAAAGATAAATATAATTAAAATCAATCAATATGCTTTTTATTAAAGCTTACTACCTGTTTTTCAGATTTAGACCTTTTGCGAGTCTTGCTTTAGCGTAATAATAATAGGAAATTACAGTGGTTTCGTAAATCAGACACAGGTGTGATTATATTATTTAGAAATCATATGATTTATTACATACGAGTGTGATTTTATTCCATCCCTGCCCCTTAATTAGTAAGTGTTAATCAAAATTAATAAATCTATTTTGATTGCTATTGTTTTTCTGTTTCGCTTTTTTTTGAGTGTAGGTATACTGTATTCATCAGTTCTTTTTTGTTGTTACTTTTTTGTATTTGTAGTATCGATCTAGACTATTCTAGACTAACGCTTAGCATTCGTTATAAACCTTCATGGCTTTGGAAATGCTATGTATTTGAAATGTCTCGTATAAATTTGTTTAAACTTTGAATTAATGAATAAAAAAGAGCAAAATGTGGCCTTGCGATACGCTTCTGTTTACCCCTCCAGGCGTAACCACGTCGTTTTGTAAAGCGCTTTTCATCAACAGCCTGTAATAGTCCACTGCTGGACATAGGACTCTCCTTAGAAAGGAGGTTTTGGCCTAATATACCATGCTCACCAGACGGGTTGGTATAGGGCTTGTTTCAAGTTTTCCTTCGTTTTGCAGTGCTATTTTGCAGTTTGTTCCCTTAGTCGGCTCTTACGACACCCAAGGGATGAATAGGGGTGGTGACACTCCGTATTCTTAATCCGTCACCACAAGGACAGATTGTGCACGTGACACAATTATTTGTCTTGGGTGGGAATCGAACCCACAACCTCTGGCTCAGCTGTTAGGATCATTAACCACTAGACCAACTGGCCCGTCGGTTGAACATAGTGCTAAGTAATGATATTTTTCAGAAATCATATCCGACATAAATAGGAATTAATTAAGTCATTTGTCTTCCATTACGTGTTTTGGGGCCTTTGGCTTTATATTATTATAATAAAATTCTGCAGAAAAATAGTGAACATCACGCATTGATCTAAGTGGCATTTGCATGCCACTTAGATCAATGCTATGTCCAACAGTGGACTGCGATAGGCTGATGATGATGATGATGACGTATTGACCATTTGTATAAAGTGCTAAATTTATTAAACGAACTGATTTAGTAATTGGGTTTTAAGTTAATTAGTATGTTTATCTAATTTGTGTTAATGATATTATCATCCATACATAAAATTCAAGTAACTAAAGCTTTTGTTTTAATAAAATATAATAATGATAAGGATTTAATCGATCTAGTTACTTAAATATTGTTACACAATTTTCGCAAATATCGCACGCCTAAATTACGCCATTGCTTTAGGAACGGACTCAAAAATAAAGTGTTTTGAAGTCGGTTACATTTTAGACAAGCGAATAGCCCACGGCTTCGCGGGCGGGTATGTCTTATTTCGTGTCTTAACTTTGAAAATGATCAACTTCGATACAACCCTTGTTTACCCCCTTAGGAGTGAAATTTAAAAAAAAATCTTAGTGCGTGCTGACAACATAAAAAGCTCAGTAGTCAAATTTCAAGTTTATATCCCTAGCGGTTTAGGCTCTGTATTGGTGAATCAGTCAGTCGTTTGAGCCAGTAGTTTTATATGTCGGACGACCGGATGGCGTAGTGGTTTGTGTAACGGACTGCTAATCCAAAGGTCACGGGTTCAATTCCCGTTCAAGTCAAACATTTGTGTGCATGAACATTTAATGTTTGATTTGGGTGTTTCTATGTATAATATGTATGTATTTACAAAAAAAAGTATATATGTATTTATATCAGTTGTCTAGTACAAGTTCTGCTCAGTTTTGGACTAGATGGCGTTGTGTGAAAGTGGTAGAATATTATATTATACTATAAATGTATAGAAGATTAGGTAAGAAGTCTTAGAATAGGTAAATATTAAAAAGTACTTACAAAAATAATAGTTCTTTTCAGGTTGTTTCCCCCAACATAAACCGCTCCACTGTTTTTTAACCCCACCACAATTAAAAGGTCCTCTTCCACAACCCGCACACGCTAAAACCGTATCCTCCCTTATCAAAATCTTTCCCACCCCGTTAGGGGGGGTTATTATTACTATTTTTTCATCACCGTTCTCTTTAGGCAGCATAAGAGCTGTAGATATCGTTTTGTCTAAATTCTGGTGTTCCATTTTGAATAAAATAAATTGTTATCGCATTATTATTTTTTGTGTCGCGACGCGTACTGTTCCGTCAAGCGCTCGATTTCAACTGATGATTCGTAGGTCACAACTGTATTAGGGCTATCACTTTGTGTTATTATTCGTACTAAATAGGTTATCGTATGGAGCTTTCGGTTAAGATTTTTATTGTAGCGTTCACCCCTACTGGATCTGACTTTAAACTGATCTAGTTGAAGTGAGACAGAAATGTAGGCATATGCTATATTATTGGGTTTATTATTTTGCAAGTGGAGTGATATGCGAGTCTAGAGATTATGTTACATTTATATACTTACAACAAGTTGGCAAAATTGCCTTCAAAAAGACACACAAAGAATTTACGTATTATTGAGTGTGAAAAGAATTATTTGTACGACTTTTAAGTACATTTCGCGACTTGAAATTGAAATGCTTAAAGATTACGTATAGAAGAATGCAGCAATCCAATTTTTTTAAACTATAAAATGTGTTACAAAGCAAATTAGGTAGATACAACACGTCAATACGCACGCTGTAAGTGTCTTGTTGATCTGTCTGAAAACGGAAAGTTTATACACTGACAGGCCAATTTACACTGGCCAATGAAATGTTAAATGATGGAAATGAATCGATCTATGCCAAATATGACACTCGTTTTAAAAGAGTTACAAAGTTTTTTTTCCTATTTATTTATTGATATACTCACACAATGGCTCACTCTCGATAGCGTGTCACATCAACTACCGTTGATTAGACACATAATAGGTTAAGCCTGCGACTCCTTGGCTATCGTTAGTAACGTATTGGTATATGACCAGTATTTAACTTTATGACAGTATTGATCTCACAAACGTTATAAAAGGTGTTCTCCTAGTTAAGTCACCACATCACATCATATCACATCATCATGGGCGATTTTAACACCGACCTCGTGCCTCCAAATCCCCACATTCTCGTAAACTCTCCAGGGTTATCGAATCAGCTGTTTGCATATACTTCCGTTGTCAGCCACTCATCACAACGCCTATGGACCCGACACCTGGCTGGCCCTTATAATCACCTCCTCTCCCTCTCTCTTCCGCAATCGCACCATGAGTTCATCTACGTGTCCTACTCCTTAAAACCTCCAAAGGCCAGTCCTAAGGTACTACAGACATTACACTACTAGATGACAAAGTTAACTTGTTCAACACCATCTTAACAAACCTTTACGATCAACACAAAATCATTTTCCGTAGAAGCTGTACGTTTATGGAATGCCTTGCCGGTTACTATCAGACGTGCGCAATCCGTAACCACCTTCAAGACTATGCTATATGAGCATTATCTGTCTCTAATTAACAAACTTTACAAACAAAAATTAACAAACAAAAATTAACATATGTATTTATAGCATTTGTGTATAAATATAGATTAGTAGGATTTATGTATAATATATATTTCGTGGACATTATTTATTACTCTAATTTCTGTATACCATTCACCAGTTTAAAATGAATCCAGTCCATCCAAAGGTTGCCTGGAAGAAATTGCACTAAGCGATAAGGCCGCCCTTTGTACATTACATCTGTTATTAATTACTTTATAATGTCTGTAAAACCCTGGTGTACAAATAAAGTATTTATCTATCTATCTATTATCCCTACCTGACATCGTCATTTCAATTTCTGTGTTCGTCATTTCAATTACAGGAAGGTAGGTCTTTGGTAGAAAGGGGGCGTAGTATACACTCACGACAAACACTTCAGGGTTAAATCCAAAGGGACAGATAGATGTGTATGTTTAACTGGGCGTTTAGCTCACATTTTACTACTGTAATTTTGGTCCCACTTACGTTAAAGTGTCAAGTCTATTTGCGTATTTTATATTTCTAAATAAACATACACATATATATATATATATATATAGAATTCCGACAATGAACTATCTACAGAACTTCGATATCGCCTAGAACTTGGGTTGTGGAGGTCTGATCGTAGTCGGTCCACAAAAAATCTAAGTTCAACCGTGTGAAGAATTGAAGAATTGAACCCGACACCAACCAAAAAGGCTCAGTGGGTGTAATTAGATAGAATAGATAGTGTTTTACACCAAGTCACAGAACATTTAATGATCGTGCTCATCACACAATATTTGTCCTGGATGGGAATCGAAACAATGACCTCTGGCTTACCATTCAGTATAGCTTATCACTAGACCAACATGCCAACCATTATGTACTTTACTAATATTTTGCCAATAATCAAATTTTGATCCTACTGTTGTATACTGTATTAGATGGCAAGTTCATAGTCGTCAACTGAGCTCTTTAAGAATGAAACACGTTAAAAATTGAAGTCGAAAGTCCTAACTCTTGAATATAACAAAGTTATCAACTCTTAATAGTTTCTCAAAAAATAAAATGAAAATAAATTTCAACGCCATCTATCGCAGACAATCCGCACTACAGAACCAGAAGCCATAGTGTGTTCTGATCCTGTATCGCGCAATGAATGTTCTAATCAATAGACCATGATCAGAGGACTTCCTTTATGTTGGTGGGATATAACATTGGTTCTTTCACGATGTAATAGAGTTCATTTTTCTCCAAAAAAATCTAAGTAATTATAGTTACTTCGTTTAATGTAATTACAACAGATAATACGAGGGTCGTTCAGGCCGATTGTTTCGCAAAAAAAATATAATCATGCGATACGCCGATATTATTAGAATAGGCTGACAGATAAGAGAAAAGAACGAGACAAGTAGATAGAATCTTTATCTACTTGTCTCGTTCTCTTCCCTTTTTAAACTCACTAAGTATTTATTAGGAGAATCGTTATAAACTTGGGAGGGGCATGTTTCTTAATACCAGAAAACCGGAGTTGAGCAATTCAGAGTGAGGTTACCGGAGTCCAAACCTCCCCTTCTCCTAATTCTGTTGAGAATGACTGGGTGCAGGAGTCAGGATCATTACCGCCTGCTCTTTAGCCCCCTATACCAGAAAACCGCTTCATATTTATACATCACCTGAAGGTTGACTGGGAGAGAATGCCCCATGGCATTAAGTACGCCTTTGTACATTAAGTTTTAAATAAATAAATAAAATTATGAACTTAAAATTTAGATTCTGTTTTTGATGATTAAAACAATAATATTAAAAATTTTCGGACGTGACACACAACGCCATCTAGTTTCAAATTAAGCAGAACTTGAATGAAACAACAAATCTGCTTTCATGGTTTCATTCTTGATTTCATTGCATGGATAAATGGATGAAAAGTTTTTTAGTAGTCTGACACATTATTCACTTATAAATGCATTATGTGAGTTAATAAAAAATACAGCATCATTGAATATATAAATATAAAATCAAAAATATTTTGATTTGAATTGCCAATGATACACCATCATATTAATTCATGAGGTATTACCATTCATGGTCATTTTTGACCATAAAAGCAAAAAGGCAGAGTGTTATGAGTCTATTTTGTGTATCTTTGTATCTATGTGTGATATTACTAGCTCCCAAAACTTTTTCTAATTCACATGATGATAACTATAATCAGTGTTGCCATAAAAAACGCAAAAAAAACAACCTTTTAAGAATATTAATGCGACAAATATCAACTGCCTAAATAATGTTTTTTTTTAGATTAGAAGCTTGTTATAAAAACAAAAACAGATAATGCGTATATGACCTACGGCTAAAGAACTCCTGTCTTTAATGTGTATTGGTTATCAAAGAAGACATTATTATTTGTAGTTTCCTTGTTGTGTATTGTAAATAAATAATTACATGTTACAAGTATATGTTAATCAGTGTACAGGAATAAACATTAATCACCTTGTGTCTATTTTTGAGGATAAAAAATATAATTCTTTTCTTTCTTAGATAGGTTAGTTAGTTCTTTACAAGTGCTTTTTTACACATTTTTTTTCTTTTTGAACTTGTGGCGACTCCCACATACAAAGAAACAGAAATTTACTACACCGCCATCTAACAAAGACACACCGAACTACGGAGTAACTCCTGAATGTGAACTGCTAATCCTGTATCGCGATATGAAGAATTATTAGCATATATACAGCTACCCAATATCAACTGTTGGACCGCGGCCTGTCAGGCATGATGATCCTCCCTCTGTGTTGGAGGAACACGACATCCGTTCCTCTACAAACTCATAGAAAATTATTTCCTACTTTTCAGATCGGCTAGGTACAAAAGCGTGTGTTTTTTTTTACTATAATTTATTATTGCTTTTTTAGTCATTAATTATAAATATTTTCTCATTAAGACTAAAAAAGTAACAAGTAAGTAAGTCACATTATGCTTCAGCACACGCCTCTTATTACTTAGCAAGAGACCCACCCGTATTTTTAGGTATGGGAAAAGCCGTTAATCGTGAAGAGCCTGATCAGGATAATCGGGAAAATTTATCAAATTATTTCATTGTCATCGGTCTATAAGTGTGCAATTTAAATTTAATTTTGTTACATACATACATACCAAGCGTACATACCAACAAAAGTGTGTTAAAAACAATGATTTCCTAGATTTTTTAAGCCGCCGTTAATAATTTAGTCGTGGGAGAGCCGACCGGCGTAAAACCACGACCCTTAAAAAACCGGTGTTAAGTAAAGCACTTCTTTGGTGTCTTTTCACCGAGTGAGAGAGGTTACCGGAGCCCAAACCTCTCCCCCCTGATTCCAGGGGAAGGGACTCAAAGGCCCCAACGCACTTGTGACTCTTAAGTTGCGTGCTTCTTCTGCTCGTTTGCCGCCCTTATGAAATAAAAAAAACCGTGGCACACCGGGAGTGCCGACAGAAGTGAAAACTTGAAAGTTCCGACATGAATATACTATGTGTTGTATGTTGTACGTATATACACAATATATGTTTATATTATAAATAGTTATATTATCAATGTATTTCAACCCAAATTCAGCTCTCGTGTGAACAAGGCCGATATATGTAGATAGAGAGATGTCAGTGTCGCGACTTCAATGGT